CTGAAGTTAGGGAGCAGCATAAATACCCAAACAGCTGGGCTCTATTCCAGTATTTCTGTGGAAACTGGAGATTAGTAGCTGGTGGATCACTCTGCTTGTGACCACATGAGTTTTCCAAGCAACCCATGGCTGGTTAGAGGGGCATATCCTCACTTATGCCACGTGCTTCTGGGTGTGAGAATATGCTGTGTCTTTTGTGCTTAATTTTAGGAAAATTTGTGACTTGCATTGAAAAATGTTTCTTTTTAACAGCTAACCTGGAGAAGTTTGAAATACCAGTCAAAATTCGTTTGAGCCCAGATCCTTGGACCCCTGAGACTGGTCTAGTGACAGATGCATTCAAACTAAAACGCAAAGAGCTCACGGCATATTATCAAATGGACATCGATCGAATGTATGGAAAAAACGTCAAATAATTCTCTTCTGCACCACTTTGCTACAATGAGCTTGGATCAAATAGAAAATACTTGAATTGCCTGTCTCAACTCAACACTTGAGATCAACACACAAAACCACCATTCCTCATTTCCAGCTTAAACTGTTACTTCTGGTGACATCACTATGACAACTGGGAAGTCTAGCAAAATGTTATGGCAGCAAACTTGTATCTGTCTCCTTGTTTTTTCCAGATTTCTCTGCTACCTTGTCAGTCTGTGGATTTTCCCAGGTCTTTTTGGGAAACCATGATTCTGAAGCCTCAAGTTTTTAAACATTTATAAATCCTGTATAATGTTTTATTTGTATCTTGAAAATTTGGATGTATATAGAGAGAACTTGGCTATATAAGAAATGGTTATACTGGGGGCCTTTTTTTACCTAATTATTTAAAGATAAGAAGGTATTGATGTTGTGATATTATGTACATTGAAAATGCTTGTAATGAGATAATTGTTGAACAGAGGACGAGGTTATTTGCTGCTGTGCTATTTTTCTGTGTAAATCTGAGGGAGGAAATGTTTGACATTCCAACTTGTGTAATACACCTTCAATATGTGCCTAATGGTTACTTTTATTTTTATCTGCAAATGAAAGGATGGTCATGGCACAGCTCTGCATCAAGGCAGGTACTCTTGCAGGTGGTAGTTAAAGCTTGTTTAATACAGAAGATGCTGTTAACACATCAGAAGTTAAACCTAAGTATAATCTCTCAAATACAGAAAGTTCCGTTTTTAAGTAGCTCGTGACCATTTCACCCAGAGTTGAGTTGTGTAGTGCTAATATGAACTCCCAGCATTAATTTCACTTCACACTTCACAAGCTGGACAGTGTCCTGTTAGCAGAGGGACTGTAACAACTTTTGTCTTTTCTCACTAGGTTTGGCCATCCCACCGGATTTGCTCTATTGTAGTTTGTGAAAGTCTGGCAAGACCCCTGCTCTGCCCTAGCTGCAACCCAAATCTTAGTGGGGGGGATTTTTAAAGTCATAATGACAGTTATGTTCTCAGCTCACACAGTGCCTAGCTGCCCTTTGTGCCATTAAAAATCTCCCTTTGTTGTGTGTTCTTTCGTTTAGCACTTTTTGCTTTAAAAACAGATATTTGAAGCATTTGTCAGCCAGAGTTACTTACATTGCTTGGTTTGTTACACCCAAT